ATATATATATATATATATATATATATATATATATATATATATATATACTGTATGTATATATACAGTATATATCACCCTGATGTTAAGACATGTGATATCTTACTGTGAAAGTACAGTTATATTGCATGATGCTTTTGTTTTTTATTTTTTTAATGGAAGCAGTGTGACAAAAAATAAATCAAGGCATATTACGAGGGCTTTAAGTCTTAAACACAAATTTAAATTGTTCTCTAAGATATAGGACTGATCTTTTGGAGAGTGATCTCATCTGTTTTATATTAATTTATGCTCATTTTATCAATGACCATTTTTCATGAAATCATCTTAAAGGAACTTGAAATTTTTTCAGTTTATGTCATCTTAAGTTTTTAGTATTTATAGTCTTCCAATAGGAATGTTGGTCCCATAAAGTCATAAGAACTAACATTAGTGAGGATTTTACTGTATTGGTTTTAATTTGGTTTAATGCTTCCATGCAGGTCAAACTACTGGAAAAGGCATGTGGCAGAAATGGCCAGCAGTAGATGTACACATCCCGGGAGCCTTCAGCTGGCCATCTCACAACATCCTGTAGCCAGAGCTCCATGCACCTCACACATCATACTTTTGACTTCATGAAGATCCCTGACACTGGTGATGTAATGAATAAGTTTGAAGTCCTTGGGATTGTGGGTGAAGGTAAGACTGCATATTCATTAAAAATATGTTGTTAGAGTCATAAATAAGAAATATTTTGTTTATATATTTTGTGCAATGCCTTTTGTTTTAAGTTTTTGACATTTTTTGGTAAGTAAGGTTAATATTAGTTCAGGTCAGCTTTATTTAAAAATTTAGATCTATTTTAAAAATACTTACTTCCTGTTGAGCCTTATGTTATGTTAGAAATATACAGATGCAGAAAGATTGCATAAGCATGGAGCAACACAGTTTTTGACAGTGTATACCGTGTTCTTGATTTTGTAAAGAAAGAAAAGAAATTGTAATAACTTATTTTGGATCTTTATTTTTTGTATTTACAGTTTTTCTAGATAAAGTTTTTGTTGTTGTTGTTAAATTCACGGTTTTGCATGCATCCTGTACTTTTACAAGAGTGCTTATAGAATAACACAGATACTGGATGTGTTGCCATATATGCTTTCAGCCTGCTCTAAGTCCAGTCTAATCTCCTGTCACAGCTTTTTGTGTGGTCACAAATTTTGAGCTAGTTCTTCCAATTTGCTCTTGAAGCAAAGCCCTTTAAAACCTTCATTTGTTCAACTCCCCAAGTGAGACCCCGAGCTAAGGCCCTGTTTATATGATGTTGTTTCTCTGTGAAACTGCAGTATTTCTTTTGTGTTTCAGCTTTTTGTGTACACAAGATCAGCAACCATTTTTTCTGACGCTGAAACTTTTTGAATATAGGTTCCAGAATAGAAGTTTTTTGTGAGGCATCTGTGTGAAATCACACATGCACACTGATGGTTGCAGTCAATTCAACTCAGTTTATTTATAAAGCACCAAATCACAACAAAGTTGTCTCAGGGCACTTTACAGGAACATTCACATAAAAGCCAATTAGTAAAGTTCTCTATCTAAGGAATCCAGCAGACAAGTTGAATCTTGGCTTCGTTGCAGTCTCCCATCCTGAGCAAGCACAGTGGAGACAGTGGAAAGAAAAACTCCCTTTTAACAGGAAGAAACCTCCAGCAGAACCAGGCTCAGGACAAGCAGCCATCTGCTTTGACCGGCTGGTTGAGAGGACAGGGAGGAGAGACAGACAAACACAGAATGGTAGGTCCAGGTATAGGTCCAGGTGTAGGTGCAGGTCCAGGTGTATCTGAAAGACAAAAAAAACACGTTAAGGATAGAAAAAATAATTACAAATACAAAACAGGTTGAGCAGAGTAAGTAAAGACAGTAGCAGAGTGAAAAGTGTGGTCAGTTTGTCCTCCAGCAGTCTAAGCCTATAGCAGCATAACTAAGGGACAGCTCAGGAAACCCAAGCCGACCCTAACTATAGAATTTATCAAAAAGGAAAGTCTTAAGCCTAGTTTTAAAACTGGATAATGTGTCAGCCTCACGGACAGAAACTGGAAGTTGGTTCCACAAGAGAGGAGCCTGATAACTGAAATATCTGCCTCCCATTCTGTTTTTAAATTCTAGGAACCACAAGTAAACCTGCAGCCTGAGAGTGAAGTGCTCTGTTAGGAAAATATGGAACAATAAGATCTGTAATATAAGATGGAGCTAGGTTGTTGAGAGCTTTATAGGTTAGAAGTAAGATTTTGAATTCTATTCTGGACTTGACAGGGAGTCAATGGAGAGAAGCTAAAACTGGAGATATATGATCTCTCCCAGTAACTCCAGTTAAGACTCTGGCAGCAGCATTTTGGATCAACTGAAGACGTTTTAAAGAAGTATTTGGACATCCAGATAATAAACCATTGCAATAGTCCAGTCTAGACGTGACAAATGCGTGGACCAGTTTTTCTGCATCATCTTTAGATCAGATGTTTCTAATGTTAGTGATATTACGCAGGTAGAAGAAGGTGGTTCTAGTAATGTTTTTAATGTGGGGGATAAAAGACATGTCCTGATCAAAAATAACACCAAGATTTTTAACATTAGAGCTGGAGGACAGATTAATGCCAACTAAGGAGGGAGAAAGACTGAAAAATTAATTCCTACGATGTTCAGGTCCAAAAACCAAAACCTCAGTCTTGTCTGTTCAACAGGAGAAAATTAAGGGTCATCCAGGTTTTTATGTCTTTAAGACATGCTTGTAGTCTAAGTAGCTGATTGGATTCATTGGGTTTAATGGACAAATATAATTGTGTGTCATCAGCATAACAATGGAAATTTATCCCATGCTGTTTAATAACTTTACCTAATGGAAGCATATATAAAGTAAAGAGTATTGTCCCAAGCACTGAGCCCTGAGGAACTCCATGACTAACTTTGGTGTATGAAGAAGATTTATTATTTATATTTACAAAATGGAATCTATCAGCTAGATATGATTTAAACCATTTTAGAGCCGTTTCTGTTAAATCCCAACATTATATTCAAGCCTCTGTAGTAAAATATTGTGATCAACTGTATCAAATGCAGCACTGAGGTCTAACAGGACCAGTATAGACACAAGTCCATTGTCTGAGGCCATGAGAATATCATTAGTGACTTTTACTAGTGCTGTTTCTGTGCTATGATGAGCTCTAAACCCTGACTGAAACTCTTCAAACAGATTATTTCTTTGTAGATGTTCACACAGCTGACCTGCAACTATTGTCTCTAGAATTTTTGAGATGAAAGTTAGATTAGATATAGGTCTATAGTTGGCCAGGATTTCTGAATCAAGATCAGACTTCTTAAGTAAAGGTTTAATTACAGCAACCTTAAAGCTCTGTGGTACATAAACATCCATTAAAGACAAATTAAGTAGATCCAAACTGTGGACAATAATTAGGGGAAATACCTCTTTAAACAGTCTGTGAGTATTTTTAGACACATTGGTATCGTTCTTTATCATTTGACTCAAGTGTGCCCCCTATTTTATTCAAAGTGTTGTATCTCAATGATATATTATCCAATCTGCACCAGATTTTTGGTGCGTCATTATTGAGCACTTCTAGACACATTGGTGTTGTTGTTGGCATAGACAATGCGCGTCTGCTACCAGTGCACACCAGGTGCATGTATCAACAATGCGTAATTACACTTGAGTGGACAGTCAGAGTGTGTGTATTAGGCAGTTTTTTGTTAGTGTGCTCATGGTTTCAGATGGACCCAGTGAGGCATAGACTACATCTTTCTTTGCCCTTATCCCAGTAGTGCAGCTTAAAGGGCAAAGTCCGTTCAAAATAGAACATAGGTTACATACTGTAACCACAAATTCTATGAGTATGGGCACAGCCCTTTAAGCATTGGGCCTCACTGGCTCCCAAGTGGCTGAAGACAAGTATGCTATTTGGGAGCAAATCCACGGACCCGTACACCATTTATACAGTCCAGAGGTGGGGCCCACACATTGGGTGGGTGTGGACTAGAGTTTTTTCAGTGTTGGCATGCTATGCGGGGGGTGAGACCCAATAGTGCAGCTTAAAGGGCTGTGCCCATACTCATAGAATCTGTGGTTGCAGTACGTAACCTACGTTTTTTTGAGTTGATTTAGTAATCTGTGTATGTACAGAGCAGTTTGTCATATGCCTACTCCATCTATGTCTGGAAACCTCGGGGGATGCTTGTGTATGACTGCCACGGTTGATAACATCAAAACTACTGGAGCTCACCAACACTTGTGTCCTAGTTCCTGAACTGCCTGCGCTTTCATGGAGTGAAGATGATTTATACTAACTCATGTTAACATGCATAATAAGAAACATAAAAAAGGTGATTTAAAACATATCTAAGGTGTTCTTAGATGTGTTATGTTGCATTTCCTTTGTTTGGTCACTCAATGTAAACGTCTTTGTTATGTTTGTGGCTTTCTTAGATAGATAACTTTACTAAGTGGCTTTTCTACAGGTCCTTCTAAAAAAATTAGCATATTGTGATAAAGGTCATTATTTTCCATAATGTAATGATAAAAATGAAACTTTCATATATTTCAGATTCATTGTACACCAACTGAAATATTTCAGGTCTTTAATTGTTTTAATACTGATGATTATGGCATACAGCTCATGAAAACCCAAAATGCCTGTCCCAAAAAATTAGCATATTTCATCCCACCAATGAAAGACAAGTGTTTTTAATACAAAAAACTCCAACCTTCAAATAATCATGTTCAGTTATGCACTCAATACTTGGTCGGGAATCCTTTTGCATGAATGACTGCTTCAGTGCGGCGTGGCATGGAGGCAATCAGCCTGTGGCACTGCTGAGGTGTTATGGAGGCCCAGGATGCTTCGATAGCGGCCTTAAGCTCATCCAGAGTGTTGGGTCTTGCGTCTCTCAACTTTCTCTTCACAATATCCCACAGGTTCTCTATGGGGTTCAGGTCAGGAGAGTTGGCAGGCCAATTGAGCACAGTAATACCATGGTCAGTAAACCATTTACCAGTGGTTTTGGCACTGTGAGCTGGTGCCAGGTCGTGCTGAAAAATGAAATCTTCATCTCCATAAAGCTTTTCAGCAGATGGAAGCATGAAGTGCTCCAAAATCTCCTGATAGCTGCATTGACCCTGCCCTTGATAAAACACAGTGGACCAACACCAGCAGATGACATGACACCCCAGTGACTGTGGAAACTTGACACTGGACCTCAAGCAATGTGAATTCTGTGTCTCCTCTCTTCCTCCAGACTCTGGGACCTTGATTTCCAAAGGAAATGCAAAATTTACTGTAATCAGAGAACATAACTTTGGACCACTCAGCAGCAGTCCCAGGTCAGGCGCTTCTGACGCAGTCTCTTGTTCAAAAGTGGCTTGACCTGGGGAATGCGGCACCTGTAGCCCATTTCCTGCACACGCCTGTGCACGGTGGCTCTGGATGTTTCTACTCCAGACTCAGTCCACTGCTTCCGCAGGTCCCCCAAGGTCTGGAATCGGCCCTTCTCCACAATCCTCCTCAGGGTCCGGTCACCTCTTCTCGTTGTGCAGCGTTTTCTGCCACACTTTTCCCTTCCCACAGACTTCCCACTGAGGTGCCTTGATACAGCACTCTGGGAACAGCCTATTCGTTCAGCAATTTCTTTCTGTGTCTTACTCTCTTGCTTGAGGGTGTCAATGATGGCCTTCTGGACAGCAGTCAGGTTGGCAGTCTTACCCATGATTGCGGTTTTGAGTAATGAACAAGGCTGGGAGTTTTTAAAAGCCTCAGGAATCTTTTGCAGGTGTTTAGAGTTACGTTGTTGATTCAGATGGTTAGGGTAATAGCTTGTTTAGAGAACCTTTTCATGATATGCTAATTTTTTGGGACAGGCATTTTGGGTTTTCATGAGCTGTATGCCATAATCATCAGTATTAAAACAATTAAAGACCTGAAATATTTCAGTTGGTGTACAATGAATCTGAAATATATGAAAGTTTCATTTTTATCATTACATTATGGAAAATAATGACATTTATCACAATATGCTAATTTTTTGAGAAGGACCTGTATGTGAATGTTTCTGCTCAGTGCCCTGAGACAACTTAGTTGGGAATTGGCGCTATATAAATAAACTGAATTGAATTGTTACTTTTGAATAAAGCTTGTGCTACACGTTGCATACATTTGAACTGCACGAGTGCATATTCATGAAATTATTGCAATGTTCAGCTGTTGGTTTGTTTCTCCTACAGGGGCCTACGGTGTTGTTCTGAAGTGCCGACACAAGGTAAGATCAAACCTTTGTATTTGTTTTGTATAGTTACATATTTTTAATATGATAGTACAGTACCAAAAAGTCAACTTAAACCAACAGCAAACTGATAAAGTAGTGTAAATTAAGTTACTGTAATTTCCGGATTACAAAACGCACCTGTGTATAAGACGCACATATTAAATATAAGATAAATCATATTTGTATACATAAATAAGACGCCACGGCTGTTAAGCTGCAGGTGTCTACCATATAAGTCCCAGGTTCGATCCCCAGTCACTGCACATCACATGGCGTCTCTGGGCAGCACGCCTCATCCCCAAAATGTCCCCCGGGCACTTTCAATAGCTGCCCACTGCACCACCTGGTGGTGGATGGGTTAAATGCAGAGACTAATTTCGCCATTGTATGGAAACATACAGTGCTGACATTGTGATGCCATTATTATTATTATTATTATTATAATGAATGAAAATGCCCAGCTCTGTCTGTGCTGTACTTCTTATAATGCAAGAAGTAGCCACTTGATGGCATTCACAAAGTATAGCTTGCTTGTAACTTACACAAGGCTGGAATGGTGATCCTAAGTATACTTGAAGCTTCAGTATTTAACTCATGGTAACAACCATTATACCTTAAAAATGAACAAAATACCAGTAAATATCTACCGGTAAGCATAATCACTCGACATAAAAGTGTCAAACACCTACATAACTGAAATTATTTAAAAATTATATACCGGGAAATATTACCCAGAAGTCTTAACGAGGTCATGTGACCAGAAGGGAAATACCATAATACAGATAAAAGGTGGTAAATATTCATTAAATCACTGGTAGAACCACTGATTTTTATTGTTAAACAGTATTGATATCAGCTGCTGTTTTTAAATCTACCTTTACTTTCTAAATTATCTTATCTTAAATAAATATGACGGGATTTCTCTTCAGCGCTAATGAGCAGGGGAGGGAGTAAGGGAGAACAGCCCCCCTTCATCTCCCCCATTCAGTTTCATGCGTGAGATGAGCTTAAATGAGATATTGGTATTTAAACACATTTACCATAGACAGAAATATTTTTTTAAACCTTGATTTAAATATGTACCAGTCTTGACTCTTGGCTGACTGACTGCTTTAAAATAAAATCTTGACTTCGCTGAGCTCACATGGGGGGGGGGGGGGGGGACCAGCCCCCCCTTATGTCTCCACTCCGTTTAATGTTTGGATGTGAGCTTAAAATTAGATCTCTGTATTTAAACACACATGTACCGTACACAGAAAGATGTCGCACAGTAAGACTTTTAAAACTTTTATTAAAATATGTACAGACTTGACTACTTAGACTACTTCCGCTCAGCTGAACTGGAGGTGGGACAGTTTTAACATGGCTAAAAAAAAATTATGAAAAAGCACCTTTGGTCAACCACAAGTCACTCATGGCTCTGTTCTCCGTCCTCCTGTGCACTGAAACCATGAAAGTCCTCTTCTTCAGTGTCAGAATTAAAGAGGCTCAAAAAGACGTTATCACACACTGGCTCCTTGTCGCTGTCGACGTCACTCTCCCTCGTGCTATCCACATCGTCCCGCAGCAGTCCAGCCTTTTCAAAATCTGTTGATGATAGTGGATTTTTCACACTGCCCCACGCTGTCCGGACCCACTGGCAAACTTGAGCAAAGGTTGCTTTGCGCATGCGGCCAGTATTAGTAAACGATTTCTCATCGCTCCTCATCCAAGTCTCCCACTCAGTTCGCAGCGCTGCACGTGTATCTTGGAGGATGGGTCAATGACAGTATCTTATTGGTCATTAAGGTTAGACTTCTGGTCACATGATGGCAGAGTAGATGAAGTTATGGTAGTGAATTTGTAACCATGACCTAGAATCGTACACATCTGATTACCTGCGGGCATTCTGCCTGTGTTGGAAACATCTGCTGCCATGAGGAGTGGGGTGCTGGGAGCCACGAGTGCTCAGCCCCCTCAAAGGTAAATCAGTGGCAGTAAGCTGCTGAGAGATGGCAGGAAGTCTTTCAAAATAATAAAAATGTGAATTTTAAATAATATGAAAATAAAACCCATAAATAAGACACTCCTGCATATGAACCGCGGGGTACAAAGTGCAAGACAAAAGTAGTGGCTTATACACTGACAATTACAGTAACCCACAAAACACTGCTGGCCTGCCAGAGAAAATAAACTTTATTTTAAAAAAGTATATAAGGATTTAAAGGAGAAGCTTGACTGGGATGTTATAAAATTACATATTGATGTTTTGTTTTGGAGATTAAATGAAGATTTATGAAGCAGGAGTTTTTCACATCAAGTGTGTAACAATATGCAGAAATCACGGTTTGGTACATATCTCGGTTTTGGGGTCACTATTCAATACAACAGGAAACAGAAACAAAGGTCAAGTTCTTTCTCCACATATTTTAAACAAACATTAACCAAAATAACCCACCCAAAGCAGAGGCAGACGAATGAAAACTCCAAAACTAAAAAATCTCCCTCTCTCTTTCACTCTCACTCTCTGTTGGTGGTGGCGTGTGGCGAGTCTGAACGGGAGTGAGTCTGAGAGTTTTTCAAACTTTTCCTACTTATTCTTCTACAAAGAAGTGTTTTTTTATGTTTGTGTGAGTGTTTGTGAGTTTCATGTCCGCTCAGCGGACAGCTTTGTAGCAGGGGTGGCGTCCTCGGAGATGCCATCCCTGTCACTGGGCCACTGGGTGAGGGTGGTTAGTGATGAGGAAATGAAGCTTTTATGAAGCATTGAACCAGTTGGGCCAATTGTTTCAAAAATAGGTTCATTTGTTGAAGCTTCAGTTACACTGACCTCTTGTGGCATTTTGCAACGCTGCTGTTAAATTAGGCATTTTGCTTTTAGTGTCACACATCAAGAACTTCAGTGACTAGTGTTAAAGAAACTACTTTAATGTGGTAAACAGATTTTTTTAATTCATCAACTTTCTATGTTGTCTGGTTTGAAAATTTATTCATGCTTACATGTTTTTGAATAAAGATTGATAATTGTGCATTGAAGAGATTTAATAAAAATGTTGCAATGGTATTGTGCTTGTGTAACTGTGGCAGAGTCCGAGTCTTTATCATTCTTAAAATATCAATGAAATGACGTCTCCATCATCTCCATGTTTGGAGCTGAAGTGTCTGATCATAGAGGAGGTGTTCAGTTAAGTTGAACACACCAACACTGCACCTGCACAAATACACTAATGTAAATAAAAAAATTAATTTGAGCCCATACTGATATATGATTATTAATCACATACATCATTTTACTGTAATTATATTAAATACATGGGTTAGATAATATCTTCACTGCTGAACATTACGACAACTTTGTTGACATTTAAAACCACCTCATCATGAGCAGAATGAATTGTTCCCACATGTTAGAACAACCTCTTTTCCTGGCTGGCTCCATAATTACTCAATTTCAAGTAACAACAGCAGAAACACAGCTACCACAGCTACTCTCCAACACATTGCAACATTTTAGAGCAGTTTCATCGTGTTGAGCTCTCAATTCAAAACTGTCTCAACCTGTCACCTGTCAGAATCGAGACAAGGCGGTGCAGGGAATCAGCTGTTTGGATCGTGAACCAGTCAAGCGATTCATTCTGACAACGAAACAGTTTGTGTTTCGGACGTCACGTGTCACATGACTTTTTCCGCACCAAAACAGGCTCCGAAGCAGTGGTTCAATGTAATTTTACTGCAGGGTTCGAATCATGTTTTGAAGCTTTTGTTTCATACTACCATCACTAAGGGTGGTGCCGCAGCCCAACACCACAGTGGAGCAGGTGCTGCTGGCCATCGGAGAGCAGGTTGAGCATAATAATATCACTTATGCATCTCATATGAATAAGGTGTGGTTGTTTTCCTGAAGCAACAAACATTTGTGTCTGAACTCAGAGTGGAATAATGAGTTTTTGCTGGTTTTGCCTCTGGTGTTGCCCTCCACCCGGATCACGGTGTCCAGAGTCCCTCCGTTTATTCCTAACGAGGCTCTGGAGCAGGAGCTGAGACGCTTCGGGAGGATGGCGAGTGGATTCCGGACCATGATTCTGGGCTGCAGGGATGCCAAGCTGAAACATGTCCAATCACTGCACAGACAGGTGTCCACGTTTCTGTCCGACCACTGCACAGACAGGTGTCCATGTTTCCGTCCGACCACTGCGCAGACAGGTGTCCATGTTTCTGGATTCACCCAATCACACACTGGAGGTTTCTTTTCGGGTGAAGCATGGTGATGGGTCTAACATGGTGTATGCTAGCTCAGGCGGCATGAAATGTTTTGAATGTGGGGATGTGGGTCACAATGCTTGTCCCCACCATCAGCAGGTGGGGGTGGGGGGTCACTGTGAAAGACGCAGCTGCTAAGGAGGGGGGGGGGGGGGCAGTGATGAAAGGTGTGCACATTCTGAAGCTGCCTCTCCCGCAGCCATCGAGGCTGAATCCATGATGGATTCTGCTTGGGCTGGCGGTTCGACCAAGGCTGTTGTTTCTGCAGCCTCCGTGTTTTTCGCGGCTTCCGGGGCTGTGGACACCACGGCCGCTTGCAGCTCTGCGGTGGCCAGGGGCGCAGCCCACGCGCCCATTGACAGCTTCATGGCCACAAGTCATGATATGGCCACAAGTCATGAAGTTGACAGTAACTTTGAATCAGTGTGTGAGCTCAGGAGCTCCAGTTTTTGAGGTCTCACACAGCTGAAATGTCGAGTATAGAGGCTGTGACTGAGAAAACCGATGGCTCAAAATGTAATGCTGACACCAGCTGTGGAGTCTTAAATGTTGTTACTGGACCTCCTCTTAAAGCAAAACAAATAAAAAATGTTGAACAACCTGAACAAGACGAAGTGTCCAAGTCAAGCAGTATGGAGATGGAGATGGAGGTGCAGGTGTTAAGGTCTGATGATCAGACTGATAAAGTGGCTTAAGACGATGGATATGAAACAGATTCACACTGTGTCTCTGTGACTGGCAGTATTTCTAACACT